TTCGATATATAAATTATATATATATATATATATATATATATTTAATATAACATAAAGATACTTTATTTATTACATTTGCTATATATAGAATTTGTTATTTTAAATTTGTTGATATTCTTTTCATATTCGGCCATACAAAAATACTGTATTTCGAAAATATTATATTCTTTGTATCACATTGAATGTTTATATAAAATTTTGTTATCTCTTACATATAATAAAAAATACAAAAAATATTTAAATTAGAATTTTAATTCTTGTTAAAATTCTTTCTAAGCAATCGGATGTGAAAAAGTTAGATATTCAGATAAAATACAGATAGTAAAATACAGATAATTTTAATACAAATATACAAATACTTTTATTTTTATTAAAAATAGAGATATACCTTCCTGTATGCATACTCCAATCATATAATTTAACAAGTAAATTTTCACTTAATAAATATTCTAAACATGGAGAATGTGTTGCCGTGTTGCCATGCTGATATTGATTATACACATTCGAATCTCGTAGTTCTAGTATCAATAATGTTACCATTTGATCAATGTGATTAACGACTCCAAGTACATCATCTTGATTTGGTATTCCTATAGGAGGCTGAAAAATATACAAATTAATTTGTTAAGATGATCTAGAAGTCATTGATATTTTAAAAATAAGATTGTCATTTAAACATACTGAAAACATTTTATCATTTTTTAACAACTCTAACAATAAAGACAAAAATAAAGTAGATAATAGTGATAACTGAATATCTTCTTTTACTATACTCAACCCAGAACCTATTTTTCTGATGATATACATAATATCTACAAAATGGTACATAATTTAATACTGTATACTCGTAACTCATTTTAAATGAAATTTTTAAACAAATTTTTAACATAATTATGATATAATAATAAAATGTATGTTAAATATAAAATAAATAAATAATATAAATAAATAATATAAATAAAATAAATAATATAAATAATATATATAAATAATATATATATTTTTATATATTCTTCAATGAATATATATATATATATATATATATATATATTAACTATTTTAACTTACTTTTAGTAAAATTAGTAATATTAGACTTATTTTTTTACTAAAAATATATAATTGTATATTACAAAATACATAA